TCAATACTTTAAATGAAAAATTTCACGAAATTTCATTAGTTCTAATAGAAAATGACAATTAAAATTATTTGTATAAATCTAATGAATAAGTGCAATAAAAATAAATTATCAAAAATAAAAAAAATTAAACGGGGTTTTAACCCCGCCTCGCCTTAAACGGGTAACGGGGCGGGGGGCGGAGGAGGTTGCCCCGACCCCGCCCTATCCCGTTGCCATCCCTACCCACCCCGTTACATGTTTAAGGCGGGGCGGGGCCCTTGCCCTATTTACTACCCCATTTAATTTTTTTTTAATTTTTGATAATTTATTTTATTGCCTCAATTCATTAGATAATAATTCAAGTTGCCATTTTCTATTAGAATTAATGAAATTTCGTGAAATTTTTCATTTAAGATATTGAATTCTAAATTAAAAAAATTAAACGGGGTGGGTGGGTGGACGGGCCGGGGCACCCGTTACCCATGCCCGCTTCGGGGCGAAATTCCTCGACCTGGACCCGAATACCCGATTAAGTGGGTAATCCCCGCTCTATTCGGGTATCGGGTTTGTCGAATTTTTTTGTCATCCTTAGCAACAAGAAGGTATATCAACAAAAAATTAAATTGTCACGCAATACAAACAATTAAACACAGAAGCAATTATCAACTTGCAGTTAAAATCAACAGTTCAAATATGACAAATAATTCTTAAATTTTTAGCACAAGTAATGATTATCCCACATGGTAACTCCAATCCTATTGTCACCCCACACAATGACGCTATAATACTGAAATTTAAATTTGGGATAAACCAATATACTAGAGTGGACAAATATGAGTTCGTAACTAACGAGAGACACGAATTTACCACTTTAGGTTCACCACTATTCGCCCTTGAAGCTTTCAGAAATTGCAGCAACCAATCGAACACTAAACTGATTCACAAACACGCAGGGGCAAAATCGTCAAGTTTTCTCCTTATAATCTAAAACAGAAAACTAATAACACCAAAATGTCAAGAAAAATGTCAGGAACAATCTGCCGAAGACACCGTCCATGAGAAACGCTCCATGCGCCCCCATTCACTGTCGATGGAGTTTCACATGCCGCCGCTACCCACCTAGGTGCACTTCGGTTTGTAGATCAAGGTTTTGGCCTCCGTTTTACCAATTAACTTCTGGATTGCCCGGAAATCAAGTTTACAGGTTCGATTTTTGGGAAAATTTTTAGACAGTTTGTTACAACCGGTTTCTGCTTCGTTTCTGGGCGTTTTCAGGTCTATTTTTTGGCTGAAAATCCACCACCAACGTGGCTCTGATACCAATTGTAGCAGAATGGACCTTCGATTTAGTGGAATACTGGCTCAGTTCAACTTACCAATATCAAATACAATCAAACAATTACTCAAACCCACAACTAATATTATAACTCTTTGGTTGCCACTTCTAATATATGCACAAGGGACACAAGATAGCGGTGTTTGCAAAAAAAAAAAAAAAAAGTGGCCACAAAGGCAGAGAAAAGCCAAGGCACGAAGGAGGAAAAGAAAGCATCCACAGGTTCTCTCTTCAACACATTCACAAACCACACATGTTTCCACACTACACAATAGGCATATATTTATAGAGGTTAGGTTATATCATCAATTGGGCTAAGAAACAAAGTAATGTGCCAGCACATTAAAAGGACCATCCAAAAGTTGTAGTGGCCATGAGCAATATTAACTAATTAAGTTGCTTCCAATGGTCCGAGTTATTTTCGGGTTGAGCCTATAAATTGATAGTTATTTCACTCATTAGTCGAGATCTATGAAATATAATCCAAAACTGTTTAGCATCGTTATTGGCCGGGATTTATTGGGTATAAAAAAAGCAAACAGCTTTATTCTAAACTTAGGATTTTAAGATCACTTCACCGTAAACTCAGTTAGAGGATTTTAAGATCAATGATAGTTTGATTTAAACTGTTGCATTTTCTAACACGGGTGGAGCCAGAAAATAACGTTAGGATGGACTGAAATTTAAAAAAATTCGAATGAACTTGGGAAAACTCGTGACCTTCACGACAAATAGTGTATGACACTCAATGAAATAAAAGAAATCTAGATGTTTCACCCTGTAAAGAAAAATGTGTTTCTCACATTTAACAACTCTTTTAAAACCAATTTGGTTGGATGGCCACATGGAAACCCCAAATTGACTTTTATTCTTTAACTTGGATTGTGTTTTTTCAACGGATTATAGACCGTTGAATCTAACCTACGGCTGAGATTAAACAACACCATTATGACTCTTGGTTTGGTTGTGATTCTCTATCATTCTATTGTTTCTAGTTTTCACTTTTGAGTGACTCTTTCTCTCTCTCTAAGTTCTCTAGTTTTCTTCTTGGTTTTGATATGTAATTGTTAGAGGTTCTAGCCAAAATTTGTTCAAGAATCACGTGTGATTCGTTTTTCTATAGTAGACCAGGCTTGTAATACTAGCTGATTTTTGGGTCTGTAGACGTTCATGAAGTTTTGGAAACCCCAAATTGACTTTTATTCTTTACCTTGGATTGTGCTTTTTCAACGGATTATAGACCGTTGAATCTAACCTACGACTGAGATTAAACCACACCATTATGACTCTTGGTTTGGTTGTGATTCTCTATCATTCTATTGTTTCTAATTTTCACTTTTGAGTGACTCTTTCTCTCTCTAAGTTCTCCAGTTTTCTTCTTGGTTTCGATATGTAATTCTTAGAGGTTCTAGCCAAAATTTGTTCAAGAATCACGTGTGATTCGTTTTTCTATAGTAGACCAGGCCTGTAATACTGGCTGATTTTTGGGTCTGTAGACGTTCATGAAGTTTTGCGATATTTTTGGTAAGGTTTTAAGATTTAAGAGATCTTTTGAAGACCGATGACTAAATTTGGGTCTAATTGAGTCTCTAATAATTTGTACTCTCTGGTGGAAGGTTTTTGCTGTGTTTAGTTTTACATTTACGGGTTTAAAAACCCCAACACGTCCTAAGATGTCTGACTCGATCTTTTTATATTTTCTTACCAAATAGAAAATCAACATACGCGTTAAAAGATATAAAATGATCAAATCATGATTGGAATAAGCAAATGACACATATTCACCAATAAAAAATTAAGAAATATTTATGAATACTATTCTAAATAATTTTGATGATCAATCTTTCCAAACAACTAAATGCTTTGGTTGAAACATGCAATCATTAATACATTACTATATATTATTGTCTCAAAATACTATTTGGTGTAGACATCAATCTTCTACATCACTTCATTTCATAGTGAGTGAGGAATTCCATCTAGAGTAAGAAAAATTGACTAAGAATTATGAGGGTCAAAGAAAATTAGATTTAATTCATAGCCATATTTGGTTCAGTTTCAAGAATATACTTATATATAGATTAATTTACAAATAAATAAATTTTAACAAATATCCTTTTTATTGACAAGATCAAATTAAGAGTTAGTTATTTATTTTGATCAAAACGTCTATTTCATGATCAAAACGAATAATTTTTTTTATATAAATATGAATAAATAATATATGAAAACATACGTAGAAATAAAAATTAAATTACTTTTAAGCTTAACAAAACATAGTGTCTCTAATTATTAAAATATATAATTTATTTTTATTATCTATTAT